TCCAATACCACGATCCCAATTAAAAAGGAGAAAATGTGAGTTTATCAATATCAGTAGTTGTGGTTTAGCCCAGCAGACATCTAAGCACTTCATAGCTGTACCACTCCCTATGCTAGTGGAATGAGGGAAAGAATTGAAACGGAGAGCAAGAACTTTTGTGTTGGGATAAGGGCAGTTCAATAAGAAAGAAAAAAGTATCAAGAAAAATAATAAAGAAAGCAGGTGATACATAATGCAATTACTCTCCACCTGCTGACTGATGCCCAGCCAATTTCTAAGCAATGGCAGTCCTCCCACACTGACCAACTGACCCCAGCTTTTACTGCTGAGCATGACACTGCATGATATGAGACATTCCTTTTACCAGTTTGGGCCAGCTGCTCTGGTTCCACCCCCTCCCATCTGCCATGCACTCCCAGCCCCCTGCTGGTTAGGCAGCACCAGAAGCTGAAAGGTCCTTGACTTCATGTAAGCACTGTTCAGCAACAACTCCAACATTCACATTGTCAACTTTACTCTCATTCTAAATCCTGACCAAGGTACTACGTCAGCTATTAAGAATAAAATTTAATCTATCCCAGCTGAAACCAGAGTACCAGTGGCTATAGTCAGCCATTAAATAAAAGGAAAAGCCCTAAAGAACATACAGGTGGAATGAGGCAAAATTTGAATGCTTACAACCAAAACCAATTTTCCTTGTACTTCATTGCTTGGGAAAGCAGCAGGCATTCTCAGGACATGCCTAATATCCAGACAATATGGAAATCTTCACAAATCATGGCATGTGGTAAGAGAACAGCTGGTTAAGTCCTTTTGTAGAACAGTTGAATTATTATTAAAAAAGCCTTGGGCTTATTATTGTTCTCCCCTTCTTAAAGATTACAGGATGGCAGAAAGCAGTTTTAGGTTGTGGTTGCTGCCCTTTGGGAGTAAACAGATGTATGGAAAGGAGAGAAGGTGGAAATGGAAGATGATGGGAGAACACAGAGGGAAGCGACAACGCTTTTGGCAACTCCTGAATACCAGGAATATTTCAGAATGCTTATGTTTTACTAAATTATTTAATAAGTAGTTTTGACCAAAGCAATGATTGAACCTACATGGTGTCTCCTCTTTTTTCCCCCCCCCCCCCCCCCCCTCCGCCACTGGTGCAAAGGGTTCTGTCTTGTGCATACACAGCTGACTTCTAAGACAGTCTGAATGCGTATGCTGCTCTGATAAAGCTTGAAAACAGGTGTTTAATGAAAGTCTAATATTTTTGTTATGTGTGCAATTATAACTCTTGACTACTTTGCTATGTTCACTAGTAGGCATGCAGGTTTATTTGTTTGTACATATTATATGCTGTATTCATAATTATCTTAAATGCGGATCACAGTATTGACTACAGCAAGATTAAAGCTTATGACTCTAAAATCAGTAGGCTATTCACTCTTCCCTTTTTCAAAGGGATGAAGCTATGTACAAAGCATGTACTTTGTACCTTTCCTCTTGGAGAAACTTCTTGACTCAGTTATTTGCTATTTATGTCAGACTTTTAGACATTTAACCTTTTCCCTCTGTATTATTTCAAGGCTAGATGTCACTCACATCTTTAAACAAAATACTTCATCTAGTACTGACTATGCATGGAAACCAAACATGAAAGTATATGTTTTCTGAGGTTACTTCCCTCAAGAATTGTAAAGTCTCCCTTTTCCCAGCATTTCGGCTTTCAGACTGTCATTTTCACTCAGTGAACTCACAGGATGAAAACTCCCTCACCAAAAACCTGCATATCGATCAGTTATGTTGCTGCAAATATACCACTTCGCTTTGATGTTTCTCTCTGCATCTTAATCTGTATTTTGTTGGTTTACTTTGGTAGGTACTTATCATCAACTACAGTAGCAATCTTGTGATGGCACAGGAAATAGTCCATCAACTTATACAACAATAATGAAAATATCACACATACAAATAAAATGAACATCAAGTGCAAGTGAATCATGAAGTCTTTGATCAGGTTACAGTTTGATGAAATATCATCAGATCATATGTGAGTGCCACTGCATATGAGTATTACTAGTGCAGCTAGACAAAAATGAATACTTCTGAGCATGTTAAATTCTCTACGACTCTTTAAGGCAATACTTGTTCTTACTATCCAACAGCTAATACAATTCTTAATTTTTAAGAAAAATGAAATTGATTATATCCTTAATTTAGTGGTTTTCTCCCAGCTTTTTACCTCCTAACCATTTCAACTAGATAAATCTTAGAGGACTTCCATAGTTAAAATGATGTGCCAGAATTCTTTCCTTTTTTTTTAGTTTATTACTGGAATAATTTTGGAATAATTACAATTCTGATGGATTTTGCTGAATGAGGACAGGCCAAAATGCAGACAGCAAACATAAATACTCAAAGTATTTATATGAAGATATTGATATGAAGTGGATAAGTCTATTCTGAGAGGCAGGCTTCATGTATACTTGGGCAAAAAGTCTGATCCAGAAGTAGACAAGGCTCTGCTTAACCTAAGGCTACATACACATATCTGATCTTGAATGGATTTTCAGCTTCTGCTCCTGGCTGTCGAATAGTTTTCACAGGCAGACTCATTGTTCCTAGGTCACTACAGATCAATCAAAACCAATTTTGGTCAAGCAGTATTGTTTTTCCTGTATTAGGTTACTGTTGAGTAAATTCTCTCACATTTATGTAGGTCACTCTGAAAGTAACACCTCCAGTTTATTTCCATGGAAACTACAACAGATACAAAGAGCACAATAACCCTATTTGATAGAGAAAATTCTCAGCTACAAAAACTTTTTTTTTCCCCAACATAGTCATCCTCATTAGCTATTCATTTGCTATGCTATGAACTAGAGCTTGCATTCTGTGTTTGTAAAAAAAATCTGCATGGCTATCCAGAACATGGCTTGTATTTCACATCGCTGTGGCTACCACTTAAATTCATCACTCAGTGCCTCCTCGTGCTCATATCCACTGTTTGATCTCCACAGTTGTTCAGCAAGAGTTGCTGAATGTCAGTGGGTGCCATTTTTTCCAGGTGGAGTAAGTCAATGAAACACCTTTGCTTCATACACACGTTTATGTCAGTGTCCCTCTGTTACCATCTTTTGCACAACAACAAAATGTACTGGAATATTGGTGGAAATGTTCAACATCTATCGTTATACCACCAACATCTACCTCTGATGTAATGGGCCAACATTATAAAAGAGGAGGCATTACTTTTGGAGCAGCCCTCATATTTCTCTAAGGAGAGAGTTCTAGATGTGGCAGTAATGGAGGAGAATGTGCATAGAGGAAACAACGAGAAAACTGTCATGAAAATCAATTTCCAAATTAAGTAATTCCAATACAGTAACATTGTAAAACAATAAATCTCAAATATGATACAATTATGCTATGAGGCAAAAGTTGATGTCAATCTTCAGTGCATCCTGGGGTGACACAAGAAATAAATACTGATTTTTCAAATAGTGATCTACTGCTCTTTGGTGTTTGTTTCACATGTAAAGAGAAGCGAGAAGGAAAGCTAACAGTTTGAATTTATCTCCTGCACAAATGGAATCATGAAGAATGCTGAAAGAAGGAATTGTGGTTAGCTTATGAGGGCAGAGTCGTTTTAAGAATCTATCAAAGGACTTAATATTAAAACAGTTTAGAAGAAACAGTAAAAGCTGAAGAATTATCAACTCCTAGAAAATAATCATCCATAAACATTCTCTTCCCACTGCTTTAAATAAAAACAACATCCAATAAAGAGAAAGCAAAACAAAGGAAGGAAATTATGCAAAATCAGTTGCCTCTTTAAGATACTGTTTTTACAAGATTGATCTCTAGTGAGCTGCAGTAACTATCCTTTATTTCTGTGAATAGCTATCTATATTAACAGTGCATGGAGAAGTGTTTTAATGTCTCTTAATCTTCCTACATGAATTGAATAAGAAGAGACAATAGCGAATCTTAAGTTCACATACTCTGACCCAGTAGTGAAGGCCAGTCTTTTTAAGAAGCACACTGGGCTGTTTTGTTCACAGTCTTAGAATCCTGTGTGTTAGGAAAAGGTTTTCTTCCTTTGAGTGTTCAAAAACCTTGCAGATGCAGATTGCAGTTCATGCCAGAGTTCTAGTTCAGGTGCTGTGAGAAACAAGATAAACCAGACCCTCAGGGACAGAATGCTTTATGAACTCAGTAGGAGTCTATTCACATGGTCATTCAAGATGGATTGAAGCCCACACAGATGTCTATACTCACTACCAGTAATCATGCACTGGAAGGAGACAAGCTCTTAGCGCTAGGCCTGCCTTTTGGCTGGACCTCTGTGGGCTGTGAGCCAACACTGGTGGGATAGATTGCTCTTCAGCCCACCTGACAAGCACTTGTTTCGAGCCCTGTGTGCAAGCGTACATTTCGAATCAGAGCTGTAATGAACCATCTGCAGGGAATGAGTTGGCAAGAGAGATCAGCAGGTTTGACCCTACTCTTCAGCTACCCTTCATACCTGCAGGACAGATACACCCACAGGAAAAGACTAGCAATGAAAAGCCTGAGGACATCAAATTATACTACGAGTAGAAAAGATCAAGCACCACCTCTTATGAAAGTATAACAAGCAACAGAGAATTCAGCAGTATGGAAACTGCCTTGAAAAACAGTGTGCTATACCATAAAAAGGATACTGCTGTTCCTAACAGGTAGACTTTTCACTGTTTTTTCAGTCTGTTTTCTCTCCCTACTGCTTTTTGGACTGCCTTACTGGAAATCATATTTCATTACTACTGCAAAAATTTAAAAATTGTTTTGTTATTTAGAATCTGACAAACCCCTTCAGCTTTTTTGTCCTAAATGTACGCAAAATGAACAAAAGAGCTGCATCTCAACAAAATATTATATTCCTGTAATTTTTAAGCTGAGTATCCCAAAGGAATGTCTATAATAGTCTACATATAAAAAGAAAAGAAAATAGTAATAATAAAAACCCTTACCTGTTAAACTGTCCTCTATTGATCCTGTAAATACATTCATCAGAGAAATAGTGTTTAAAATGATTTCTGGGTAAAGCAGTGTACCATATTGCAACACAAATGGTCCCCAAATAGGCATCTATAAGAAGCAGTACAGACAAATAACTCGTTAGAGAAACTATTTTAAAATAGTTTCTTTTTCTTCACTGGGGAAATGTGGTATTATTGCCCTAGAATGATTTAATTCACCCTAATTATATTCTGTTTGATATCTGCAGCTGTCTTAGAAGCAGGATTCTACTATGTAAATCCAGGAGACATTTCTCATCTCATTTGAAACCCCAACATGCTCTAATTTTCAAAGGAATTATAAGCTAGTTTCTGCATATGCTCATTGAATTTTTCAGTGGAATATCAAAAGAATTCCCAATTTTCTGAACGCTATCACTTGTACAAACTCTATTCACCTTGAGTTTCCCTTATATACTTATACACATTATACACTTTGTATTGACCCTGCAATATTAATTAAAATCTTGTGCAGTTGCATAATAATGTGACCAGAAATGTCTTTACTTTGTAATTCTCATGGAAGACACTAATCAAAGTTGCCTTCTTATATTTTGTCTTAGAGTTCCATTTTACTTCAGAACAGACGTGAATTTGTCTCACATACAACTTTTCAACACAGCTAGTAAATAGCAGCATTTGGGCTGATATCAAAAGAAGACCATAAGAGGATATGTTTCTGCCAAAAATTAGTGTTGTAAATGCATCCTTCGATGTATTTGGCAGTTGCTGTTCATATTACAGTGCCACATTGCATAATTCACATAATAACTATGCACCAGAATTTGTAATTAAGTATTGGCTCACGTCTGGTAACCAGAAGTGACAATCAGTGATCATTGTTATTTGTTGGGAATATCACCATCAATCCCAGGGAAGACAGCAAGGTGAATCAACATGGTGTGAGAAAGCACAACTGGCTGTTAAGTTGTGAAAAGCCAGTAAGTGATAGCTTCCTGCTGCTCTCTACAAATTACCAACTAACAAAACAGAGCAGTTTGCCTTCTCTTACTATGAACAAAAAATTTTAGAAGTCTTAGCAGGGAGTACAAATTTTATGGAGAGAAATCAGGGGAAAGTCAAATGCTCTTCTTCAAATAAACTGACTTCAAAGAGTAGGGTCCTAACCAGTGATTAGAAAAATAAAATAACTGAAGTTCCATGCTTTGAAGATGAAGCCAGAGTAAAATTTAAGTAGAAATTGAAAGAATATCCACCAGCTTCCTTCTATATTTACTACAGTTTTTACCAGATGGACTTCATTGATAACTAATTTTTTTATTGTCACACAATCTTTGAAAGAATAGGTTGTAGCAAGCTTTAACAGGAGTAAGTACTTCCCTGTCAAACAAGCCAGTTAAAAACTGTGTCTAATCAACTATCTAGTGCTTTCCAGCTTCTGCCTTGTCTTAGTTTCAATGGGATGGCAAAATCTTTGGTTAAACATAGTGAAATTCCTATGTATGATCTAACCGAATCCTGTACTATATTCTATGAGAAGGCAGCAGAAAGAATAGAAATATTAATCTACCCTATAGTTCTTTTCATAGATCCATTTAGAGAAGAGTATAATCTGATCACCCAGCTGACCTCATGGACAAAATAGAGAGGACTCATTCCTTGCTACTACTCCCATGTCTCTCACACAGTCATAAGCCCTTCACCTTCACTGAGGGGCAGCACCATCAAGAAATAGGAGTGAACTTGTTCTCATTTGGAAGGAACAAGGGATACAGTTTGGTTCATGAATCCTAATCCTACCTAAAACTCTCATATACAAGATACTATAAGAAATTATTCTTTCATTCCCAGCTACCTCTCTTATCTGTTTTTTTTTTTTTTCCTCCAGCCTGCTGTGTCAGTTTTGTTGCTTTGTCTACTACAAGACTTCCAAGCCTCTTTATGTCTGGTTAAGGGAAAAAAAGGCTATTAACACCTGAGTAAGAGATCCAGTTTCTTAAGTGCATGACTGGAATTAAAAGTTGTTTTCTCAGATGCAGCACTAGGATCAAAGAAAAGCTTTAGTGGAACTAGCATAAACTCTTGTAAGTCCTGAACACAATTTTTGGGACTGGAAACTTCCATTCATAAAAGACATCAGAAGTTATAAAAATATACTGTGCATCAAGAAATAAATTGTATACGGGAAAAAAGATAGAATAACTTTTTAATAAAGGAAGCTTTATAAATTTTAAACACATGCAAGATTATTCTTTAGGGAATATTTCAAAAGTAGGAATGTTATGGAAAGAAATAGCATTCAGACATTTGCCAACTAGTCATAAACTAAGATCTCACAATTTAGAATTAATTTTTTTACTGTTAAATTTTAATTTGGATTTCTCCTAGGAAAATGGTCAGAAATCATGAATAAGTATAAAATGTAGAAATTTTTGGTGGCTACTTAAGTTACACACAAAGATCACAAATATCTAGGAAAATAAGGGCATGTCTGTGGAAAATACTGAATTAAGTGGATACAGTTATGATGCAGATGAGTTATACAAAATGCTGGAACTACAGCTAGGTGTCACGTGATCATAGAATCTTCTTAAGTGTCAATATATTAGAAAGTTTTTAAACAGTATAACAAGGTCTTCAGGTAGAAGTTCATAGCGTGATAGATACTGAATAATAGGTTAACGTTCCCAGATATTACTACTACAGTGAGTGTGATGAACCAGTGTTAACTTGCTTTGTACTGCCATCAGTAGGCTGAAGCCAATTGGTTAAACTGGCACAAGGGAGAAGTTCACCATAATCTATTATCAGCCCCTTTGGTGAAAGAGGTTTTGTTTAAGACTTCACTTAAAACAATTGTTCCTGTGTTGGGTCCCTAGGTTTCTACAACTGTGTATTTGTCCATGATGGCAGCATTCCTCAAGAAAACAGCAATGGCTGATACAAGTCAGGAAGGCATTTTTATTCAACAGATGTTCAAACTCTATTTTGATGACTTTACAGTGTGTCTGGAGATGTATGGCATATACTTTTCAAATTCCTGCAGCAAACAGTGCCTTGCTGAGTGAAGTAGTCTGCTTTAATCACAGGTTCAGCAATCTGCCAAGGATTACGTGATTGAGACTGATGATAGTATCCATAAGTAAATCAGGAATTGATGAGACCTTTGTATGTCACCTACAGCAGTGAGACAAAGTGGATTTTACACCATCTAACTAAATCCAGACACTTGAAATCCAGACATAAAGCCTCTGACCTCTCTTGAAAAGTTGACTGTGCCAGTGGAGAGTGTAGCAAGCAGCATCTACATAATACAGATGTGAGAGAGAGAAGCAGGGGGGGCGGAAGGAAGACACAGATCTCCAAAAAAGTATTTCATCTTTGTCAAGTCAGAGGAAAATAAAGAAACAAAATGTAAAGAGAACCTGCTTTCTGTGCATCTCCAATAGCATTAGAAAGGGTAAGTAATAATTTAATGACATCCTTTAAAAATGATTCATAGAGGTAGGGAGTGATAGGCTTTGAGAAAATCATGTTTCCAGGATTATACAAAAGTAATTAAAAATAAGCCTGTTAAATGGAAAAGCATGGAAAAACTAATACAGGTCAAATTAATTTGTCTTTGAAAAATAATCAAACAAATGCAAAGAATTGGATGTTATTAACTCTTTGCACCATTTCTCTTCATAAATCATCCAACTTCCATAAATACATCAGTGGCATGTAACATAGTTGTAACACAATGGAAAGCACAGCAATGACAGAAGAGAGGCAAGGCACTAGGCTGCAGTAAGTGAGAATCTGCTCAAATGCAGAAGCCACAGAAATAAAGAAAAGCAGCTGCATAGTCCTACTTTCCCAAGGACTCAGGTAGACTGATCTCCAGCAAGACACCCTTGCCTTCCCTACCAACCCTTAAACAAGGCCTAGGAAGTGGTGGATACTCAAATGCAAGCCACTCAGATACACTGCATGAACCTGAGATCACCTGGTAAGAAGGCAAGGCCAGGAGAAGAATCACTGTTTCAAGCCATGACTTCGCATTTCTGCTACAGTAGTTTTTGTTAATGATAGTAAGCAAACTTAGAGATATGCATGCACAACTTAAATATGTCTGAGACACAGATAAAAGAGTTATAAACCCGCAGCCTTGCAGATTGGTTGGAGAACTAAGTAATTGTGCTCTGGAAGGAGCAGATGTTAGCAACTGACCATACTTTTAACTAACTCATTTGTCATCCTACAGTGTTTGGATCATAGAACAGCCTGCCCCAAAGTTATGAACTATAGTGTCAACTGATGCTCCTAAGAGGTTATCTGTGGAGTACCAGTATCAATTTTTCCATATGACAAATTTTTTTTGGACCTGCCCCTGATTCAGCCATTTATTAATACAGCTGAAGTGATGAGTGGATGTTATGTATAATAAATTATTTTCTACATGTATGCATGTGACAAGTTTATCACATAAAAAATAAATCTGCTTCAGAAATAAGGCGATATATACTCAGCAGTAAGTGATAATGTAAAATACCAGTTGCCAGCTACTCTTGAGTACTCATCTTCTCTCCAGAATTAAGAATCTAGAATCAAGTTTGCCATACTTGACATTCAGTTTTGGCTACTAAAACCTCACTGTGCATATATGCTCATTCTCAAGTTTGTTTAGTTAGTGTTAAAAAATTAGTTCTTGTTTTATCCACCTTAATATGTAAGACATTAAGTCACATTATGAAACAAAACTTATGCTAAAAATTAGAAACGCCTTCTGTGTGCAATTTGTATGACTGAACAATATCAGTAGTTTATTTCTCCATTCAGCGTCTTAAAGGTATATTAGCTAGTGGTAAACTTGATGCAGTTTGAAGTGCGTATCTGAAGCATACCATATTGGAATATCAGAACTCTCTACACAACTGACAATACCCTTGGTATATCTTAATAGCTTTGTTTTGTAGCTTGTTGTTAAAAATTCAATTTTAATTTGTGGATATTCCTACAGAAGTGTTCAGGCTTCTATTACACATTAATTCCCATAGTCCGAGTATCTAAAAGTAGATATCCTATAAAATTTATGAGCTACTCAGAAAATGCCATTTTCTAACTTCTGTTTCATAGTGGTTTGTTTTTCTTTAATTGTAAGGTAGGATTAGGATAAACAGAAGTTCCACAGTTATGTTTTGAATTGCCCAGGACACATTTACTGAGATGATTAATTCCTTTTCTAACTCTTTTGCCAGAAAAAAAAAAATATTAAAAGCAGCAACATAGTAAAAAAAAATTCCAACTTCACTGAACCACAGGCATTGTAGGAAGATCCAGAAGAACTTCAACAGCATTTCTACCACATGTAATATAAAAATATGTCTAAATATTTTAATGTAAATATATATAAATATTTACATTGCATATGTACATAAAGATATGAAAACTCAATATGCTGAGTACATAGGTAGGTAAATATACCCAAGCACTCTTTCAATCCTCTTGCTCTATGAAACTTTTCTAAGTGCAAAGTAGTATCTATGAATCTTTCATACTGTCTCCATTTATGATTAGCAATATACAGAAGAAGCCATACTATTATGCTGTACACAACATGGTGCTGATAACATAGCCATCGTAAACTACTCATTACATGCTCACACATTCAGCAAGTTCTCAAGATGTTTATACTAAAATAGTTTTCGAACCAAACTTCATTGGAAGACTAATAGTTACAGCAATATTCCAAATTTTACATATTTCAAGTGTTATTTCATTGCACTAGTGGGTTATGGGAGCCAAGGAGATGCTTCAAATGAGAACATCATAAACATTAATACTAAAGTACACAAAACAGTACTTTTTAAAGGATCTTCTCAGCCATGCATTCATTGTTCTATATATTTATAAAAATAGTGACTACAGTAAAATATCATAGAAAAGTGTCTTTTCCAGGACCACATATTTCATTGATTAAATCAGAAGAAATTCAGGGTTGGATTATGCAGACTGCAAAGGAGACAAAAAGTAGGGGACCTGTGACTGATACAAGAGAACAGGTGCTACCTGAAATAAAGATTGTTTAGTAGGTACGTAAACAGGTACATAAGCTGCTACCTACTGGAAGAAAAACAATGATAATGCAGATGTACAATCAACAAATGTACTGTTAGAAGAGGTTAGGACAGTATTTTACAGGTTTAGAGCTAGAAAGATTATTGTAGTGAAAAGAGACAATAAAAAAATGAAACGCTCACCCATATCCAAGGTTCACAGTAGAAGACTCCAAAAGGAAAGATATCCAGAAAGAGACCCTTCCCTCCTGGCAGTCAGCCCTTAAATGAGGTCTAGGAAAGGTGCAGTTAGGCTGCACCTGTGACTTCCAGTCACACAGCTGAATTGCCTTCACCTGTGCTCCCATGGCTGACTCCGTCCTTGCCTCAGGTGGTCAATCAGTGGTTCAGGCCATGATTTAACAATTCCCATACAGCAGATAAGACTGGAACTAGTGTTAACAGAGGTAAAATTCATAGCTGGTTGTGAAAATCATAATAGAAATGACTGAACTACCAATTAATGGAGATAAAAGCTGTAGTTTACTGTAGACTGTCAAGTGACAGTGATACACAATTCATCTTAATCTGAAGGTGAGGGTAACTCAATTTGCTAATAATACAATGAATGTCAGTTATTTTCTTGTTAATAACTTGAATTAATCTAGGTAATATTTGCACAGCATTAAGTGGTTTTATCCCATAGCCCATCTATCTCATGCATAATATTCACCAGTATTAAAGCTGAAAACAAAAGAATGGGTAAAAAAAAAAATGGTAAGAACATAATTTTGTGACAGACATACACAAAACAGGACTTAGATCAGGTACTGCGGACAAAATTCATCACTTACATAGCACAAACAAAAATCTGAGCAACAACACTTGTTTTTAAAATAAATGAAGCAAAGGCTGAAGAAAATATATCTATTTTTCCTCCTGCACAGAGGAGAATGCACAGATGTTTCTTCTTCTTCCAAAATTTCTGTTTAAAGAAACAATTTAAATTGGTCTAATCCTCTGAAGCAGAACTTTCATCACTTTTTAAAGAATAACTGATGGAACAAAGAACAGAGATTGAATATGTGGATGTGTGCTGGTTATTTTTTCCTCGTACAGCAGCTGGTTTACTTATATAGGGCACAGGAAGAAAAGCAATGATGCAAAGGATGAAAAAGTTGTTGAAAGTATATATTACATTCTTTTCCACTAGAGAATATTTCAGTAACTCCAACATACACTTTTTATAATCTTCTGCATTCATTTCTTTTTTTTTCCTTTCTCTTTTCTCTTTGGTTATGCAAACTTGTTCTCTAGACAGAGCTAAGAAGCTAAAAAGATTTAGGTCACGATTAAGTGCTCTAGTACCAAGCAGATGCAAACCTATGGAAAGGGCTCCGCCACACAGTTAACTATGGGGTTATATGATTCCACTGCTTTTAGGGACATTTAGTGAAAATAGCATAGTTGCATAGCCTTTATAGCTCATAAGTGTAAAAGGACACAGTTAAATTTGCAGTATGTGGGGCATTTGTTGTTTGAATTGAACATTAAATAACAGCATTACATTACATTTATTTTCTTATAGTATTTTCTCACAGTAAAAGATGAGGTGATCAACTAGGTTAGGTTTGTCAATAAGTTGAAACAGGCATGAATTATACAAAATGCTCATAGCTTAAATGAAGGCTGATAAAATATCTGTCTTAATCTCTTTCACTCACAAGGACAAACCAAAATGACCATTTACCCAGATGTGACTAGTGGGTACAATTGTTTCAATGTCAGAAGCAATGCATAATTCTTTCAACTGATGTACACAGTTTTGATGAAAATATGAAACATACACAGCAAATCATCTAAGCTGATTAATAACATTTTCAAATATACAAAAGTTTCTAGATAATTAAATACATCCTTCATAAGGATCCACCTGTGCACAGTAGGTAGCATATTAATACCTAGGCTACTTTTAAATTCCAGTATATGTACTTAAGCCACGACAACATATTGATGGCACTGCAAGTAGAAAAAACAAATATAGCATCTACTTTCAGCCAGAAAATATGGATGTAGCTACCTTTTTCACTCTGATACTTGGGAGCACTTACAAGACAGGTAAGGATATAGTTTCTCATCTGCCTTTCATTCATTTCCCACTTCTCCCTGGATAGCTGAAGCTGGGACAGAAGATTCATGATGCCAGAGGAAGGAGGGGTGTAAGAAAAGCCGACTCCAAAGTTTCATGTGTGGGATGCTGAAAAATGTGGGTTCAGTTCCTTAAATTGTTTGTAAATTTTACAGCTGCTGGATTAAATATATAATAATCCTAGGAAGGGTGGTTCTGTGAACTCACAGCTCTGATCATGTTCTGCCTTATACAAGAACCACTTCCCTTAGATCTTCAAGAATTACATCAAGGAGCTGAAATATATTCACTAGCATCACCAAAGGAAGGAAATCTGGGCTATACGGCCTCAGCAGTTCTAGATCTGAGTGAAATAGAGTGAAATAGAGGGTAGTGAAGAATAAACTCACTGCCAGGATGTCCTTGGGATTTGTGGCTGTTTGTTTTATACAAGATCTAGGCATTTAAACCCAGAATATTTACAGTGCACTGAGGGGCATGTATGCAACATTCATGAAGACTGAAGTACAGTGGGTTCTTCCCACAAGCTGGTTCTTCCCACATAACAAGAAGTGGCTTCCAAACCCCATGAATTTTCTTTTTATTTCCAATAAGTTTCACAGGGTTTATCATGCAGCAAGGATTTTTGTCTGAATGTTGGTTGTCCCAGAAAGAACTTCCATGAGGATATTTCTGAGATGTGGTGAGAAATGTATATGAAATGCAGATGCAGCCATTTCTCAACATAGGAAACTTGCAGCTTTTCTATGGAAATCAGCTGGCTTGAACCACAATCATGAAAATTTGTTAGTGCACAATTCGATAATTTGATAAATTCCACATTATTCTATGTTCTCTAAACAAGATACTGCTAGCTAGAGCCACAGCTCTGTATATTGCGAAACATTCCTGAATGAAAAATTTGGTCCAAATTGTTATTTGGATACAGTTACAGGAGAGATGGAGTGAATCCTGGCAGTATTCTTTAATGTTGTACATTGCTATTGTGTTACTGTAAAAGAAAAGAAAAAGGAGGAAAAATAAAGAAGTAATGTGACAGCACATATTAAAAGATATACAAAGATATTTCTTGAATCATTTCCTTTTTGTCTCCTTGCAGGCTATGAAAAGCCTTCCTTTAAAACATAATTTTTTGTATCTGCTTTCCTGCATAAACTTTTTCTATGGTTTTGTATTCCTTTTATGCCTCAGCAGATGCATCAAGGAAGCAGAGTACACATTTGTATTTGTTCTGCAATCCCAAAGTCTTTGCTTCATTTCCTCTTTTCCCAATGCTCTTAGCTCCCCTGTTTAGAAACTGTTTCTCAGAGTGCCATCTGGGTTCTTCTCAGTACCTGAGATGATTTATCAGCAATTCTACAATCTTTCAGATATAGAGAATACAGAGAAAACACACTAATAGGAGGAAAAAAGCGAGAAGGGCACAAGAAAGCAATCAGAAGCTTTGGAAAAGATTTAGAAGTAAAGCTAGTCAGACAAAAATATAAAACGCTTGAGGAAAAAAAAAAAAAAAACCATATCTAGGAGAAAAAATAATATAGGAAGGAACACAGACAGATCTCAGCAAAAAGAGTCTATCATGCCCAACCTTTTTTCCTGCAATTTTCTGTGTTAGAGGTTCTGACAAAAAAATGCTCCTAATAAGTTCAGACAGAAGAGGAGGGTTGTCTAAGTCCTTGAGTGTGAAAGAAATCAAATATCTTTATTTATGGTGCCTTTTCTGCCTGCCAAATATATTCACTACTTCCAAACAATACAGAGATGATATTTCAACTGTGAATGTACAGTTTGCAAATTGAATGCAAGCTTAAAAGAGTTGCTGGTTGCAGGTTAGGGTATTTGGCAAAGAACTACTTGAGCAAAGTGCATGACATGTCTGATTAAACTCACTTGTCCTTGAATCACACAAAATATGAATTCATTGCACAATTGCTGCTCTAGGGAAAGAGTCTGAAACACAGACTGATCATGTCAGCATAAGGCTACTGCAACAGCTTATCCTTTCTCATTAAGCAGCATGGCACTGGCTCTCTGGATTCTGCATCTTACTGGTATTTTCTGAGACATGGCACTCTGCTAGACTAAAAAATCTAGGAGGAAGGTGATGCTTTATGTCATCTTTGAATGAACAGCAGCATTGAGAGTGGTGGTAGTGTAGACTGTATGTGCCAGCCAAGAAGTTCCGTGATGGTGGTGCAAGAAAAACTGGGTGATACAGACCAGTGAGTACTGGGAGACAGCACTGACCATGCCATCTCCTGGAAGGGAGCCTAGGAGGAAAGAGCAAGTCCAAAGAGCTCAACCAGTATCAACCGGTGGTGGTGAGGAAAGCAGCACAACTTCTCAGGGCTGTGTGACTGGGGTCTCTTGGCTGAGTTTCTGCAGCAGCACTGGCCGAAGGAAATGATGGAGAGCCAGAGAGTAAAGCAACCAGAGGACATGCACACACCCTCCCTGACTGCAGTGTGGCTATTGCTGCTGGCAGCCCCCCAAATTAACTCACAGCTCCCCAGACTAGTGGAATAATGTTTCTGTAAATTAGTTATTATGTTTGGTATAAGTATATAATTGCATGCGATCAGTGTCAAGGACTATTAACACTGAATTCTCACTTGGCAAAAAAAGACCGTTGAAGAGACTGATGAGCATGCTACGGGTGGTCAGCTGGAACCCAAATTAAAGAGATCTCTGACACTGGTAAAATAGTCACTAACAGCTAAAATGCTTTGTGTGTCTTTTAATTTTCTCAGCAGAATATCAGGACAGTGTAGGATTTATAAAAACCCTGGTTCCTTTGGCCCTACTTCTTGAAGCAGCAGCTTGTCCTGCTGTACCAGCCTGCACCTTCAGGGGATCTCCTTTCACTTCTGCGGCAGTCGTCCCTTTTCTGGCTACACTGAATTCAGGGGCAGAATCAATAATGTGATTAGTATATGAATAATTTATATCCACCAGGACCATTCCCTGGTCTCTCATAGGAATTTATGAGAATGATGAAACTATTTTGTGAACTCAGCTTCCAGTTTTGTAGAGCCACTCTGCCACTTAGCAATAGCCAGAGTCACAGGACAGCCTATTTTTCTTTAAACATGT